AAAAAAGTATGCACGTCTCCCGGAAGGGCGGATTGATACATTATTTGTATAGCGTAAGTCGTAAACATTCAGGGATATTGCTGCTGCCAACAATAGTAACAACGCCGAATTGTCATGGTTTAGAATTAGAATACGCCGAACCTTATCCCAACATCCTCAAAGCCTTTCTTTCTTATCAACTGAACTAGTTGTGCAATGTCGAATACTTGATTGGTAATCGGAGAACATGTTTAAAGACGCGGTCATGGTCAGTTAATAATACATTGATCTAGGATTTTCCGAGTGAGAACTGAGAAAAACCACGATAACCCTGGCCTCCCGGGGTGCTAGCCGAGCATTCACCACTGAGTAGCAAGATAGTTGTCAGCGCCTTGGACGAATATAAGCTTTACTGGCGTAAACAGAGTGTCTGAACACACCCAAAAATAATGTTCCAGACCCCACACACATTAAAGGTGCTCGGCGTGTGAATGGCTTTCCTCAATGTCATTTTTTCCCGGTTACGTTCCCTTCTAGAGTTTTCGTTCTTATCCTTTTATGCGCAGGCTCTTGGGGTATTTTCATCAAGTATAACGTAACCAGCTCTACATCTGCTAGAGTAGCTGTTTAGTGAGGATAACTAAACAGATCCCCAGATATGAACTGATTCAGATTAGGGCCCAGCATCTGGCATTTGTGAACACGTCAAAGGGTGTCCATACTTTTGTGTTATTTAAATTCAGAGATTATGCACTGCTATGTTTTGTTACGCTGAACAGTCTGCTAAGTTAATCATGAATTCTTCGTATGCAAGGAATCGGAATGGTGCGGTCGTGGCCAATTTTAAGGGACTATACCGCCATTCGCTTGTTGGGACCGAGGGAAACCACGAATCTTGATACAGCCGGACGAGATGCGAAACGGTCGTCTCTCTCTACTCCGATGTGCTGCGTATGCAGTGGTATTATACTGATTGGTGCAGACACAAGAACCTCGTAAGAAATATGAGCACGCCGATCAGTGTTCTCGCGGTCCTGCCTCTCGAAAACACCGGAAGCGTGGTCTCGAATTCCACTTGGGGCAATGAAGATAGAGGCCGTACGGCGGGTGGTTTCCTCGTCCAAGGAATCCTACCACGTATGTAGATGACTCAATGTCCTGTCATTTATTCAGGTCGGAGAAGGCTGAACAAAAAATGATCATCAAAACTCCCGTGCGGGATGCAGACAGTGCAATTCTTCGGAAACAACGTAACTGTAGTGGAGAATTATTTCTCAACCGGTGGCTCGCGATGGACATTTCGCGGCTTCATTTATGTCGGCCTTCAAAATCTAGTTCTTACGAAGTGGGATTTGTGGTTCTCACTACGGTGAGTACGAAGACGGCTGTCATCCCCTTGATGATGGAGGCAGTACGACCCTCTGAAAAAGTTTGCAAACTTCCAGACTACACGGCGCTACAACCCAGTAGGCAGCCATCTTCACGGTAATTACCGCTACACTTAGTTTTCCAAGAACCGTTCT